AAATGCAGGTTATTAATCGGTCAGTTACATTTGCGTTTTACGTGGCAGTGGGATCGCCGGTGTACCGTAGGCATTGGAATTTTACGCGAATGAAAACTTAATCTCGTAATAATACGTTTATCTCAAAATCAAATCGAGTTTGAATTGTTACTAGTATGGAAGCTGCAATTTCACCTCTTAATAGGACGAGAAATTTTGTTTTCTGTAATCACGTAGGCAAGTCAGAGTCAGATCGTTGGTAGGGCCTCGTTATCGAGATTTTGTTTTATGACCGATCGGTTCGTCCGTCGAACTGTAATCACGTAGGCAAGTCAGAGTCAGATCGTTGGTAGGGCCTCGTTATCGAGATTTTGTTTTATAACCGATCGGTTCGTCCGTCGAACTCGAGAGACGTTAGTTGCATCTTCAATGCGTAGAACCGTCGAGGTTTTGTTTTGAGATGAATTCGATTCATGTGACTGAGTAGAAGAGGTGAGTTGTACCACTGAAAGTGGGCAACTCCAATCATCAGATATTCCACGCCTTCATTAAATCACGAAGTTTGTGTATCTGCAACAGAAGAAAGAGATCAGGATTGCCAACGGCACAGGTAAGTTGTTTTCGTTGATGTTGTTAATTCACATTTCTTTGGTTCTCTTCTTATAGAAGGCGTTTCGTTTGTTTTGATTGTTTCAGGTCCCGCTCACATCCTGTGCCTCAACGTGGCGAGCGGGTGAAACAAAGAACGGTGCTTTCCCGAAATTGAGGTCATTGTTTGGATTATTGGGAAATCACTAAAAAAAATTAAAATTATTTTATTTGTTTACGTATTTATAAATCGTGATTCGTTTTTTTAAAATTGTCTCTTTGGTGCGATCATTTTTCGTGTTGAACCTTAGTTCAGGTCCGATAATTGTTATTTGTGATGAAGCTAACTGGTGGTCTTCAAAATGCTCAAATCAAGGGGTTTTATTCTGTTTTTAGCATAATAAGTTTCTAGTTGTCTATTTTCACCAATGTTTAGAAGGGATTTTTGATACGAAACCAAACTTTTGGGAGAGCAAAAACAAGAAACAATTTGTCTTACGCATTTGCAGTGTAATTCAAGTTACTGTAAGTAGAGTAGAACATCAGATTAAGGGTTTTCCAGAAGTGAGTTTGAGAATGATTTTAACAAGTTTCCTTCGACGTTTATCTTTCATTTGAGTACCCAGTAAAATCCATCTTCAAATCTATTCATTCTCTAATGTTATTTTTGTTGCGATGTGTCACGTATGTGTTTGCGTGGAAATGTGTCAGCCCTTGGGTTCATTGTCCTTCCCCTAGATGAATATAGAACAGAGGTGGAATGATACTGAAAGCGGAGAACCGAAATGGCCTTGAGAAAACCCTTTCCCACTTCCATTTCGCCCTGTTTGGTCTAAGTGTCTGCCGAAGGTCGCGCAGTGAACAGAATGGCACTTGATATGAAAAATCTGCCAGACCGATTTTGATAAATATGAGAAAGTACGGATGAGCATGATTAAACTATTAGGTAGTATTTGAAACACACGTGAAATGGATATTATTCTAATTTCATTATAATTATCTACTGTAATAATAGTAATTTGAGATTTACGTTCAAGGAAATGCATCGTTCCTTGGCCAAACAGGATAGATTTTTTGAAATATTTTTCTGGTAACTGGACCCCTCCTTCAGTGGCCTTCTCTGAGCATTCATTCAGGTGTTCAAGAAGTTTCCTGTTACAAATCATGCCATGGCAATTTGAGCGCTTAACCTAACCTAACCTGAATTCCTTTTTCATTTGAGAGCTGCCAAGTGTTCATATACATGGCAGGTTCAATTTCATAATATTCTGTTTTGTTTTAATTGATTTCCATGTTCACATTATAACTCTGTAATGTTTCAAAATTATTTTTGTTTGTGACATACCCCAAAACAAAATTACATGAACATAAAATTTTATTGAATATGGTGGGTTGTATATAGCCACAAAGAAGAAAGTCAGAGCAAAATAAAAATAATAAAATAAAAGTGATCTTCTGCATTGTACCCGGCTTTAATGATACTTCTATTTTTAAGGTCTGTAGAATGTTTGTAATAATGGGCGAGATGTCATTTCATATCATCACGACCTTGATGATGGAGACAGTAACGTCAGTCACTTTCTACGAGATTACACGGTGCAACATCACAGACGTTGGAAGACTGATTATCCATCACGAGTGCTTGTGAATATAATTTTCCAGACAAATCACCTGCAGTTAGACGTAGCATGGAAGAGCCACAACTCATCATTAAAGCAAGTAGAATGTTGGTGAGTGCGGAAGCATGACAAATTGTATTTGAATTTATATTTCTTGTTCTCTCTCCTTCATTGTTTTCAATTTAATTGTGGCCATCCGTTTTTTCCACATTGTTCCTGCAACTCCATCTGCTGTGCCTGGGTAGCGTGTAGCAGCTATTCAGTAGTACATTATAACTACCAAAGGGCATTTCGTAGGTTTTTATTGGAAATGATTTTCATCGAATGCATTCGAAAGTTATACATATTGACCAATCATGTTGAATCTTCCTATTAAAAATTTATTGGATAGAAGTGTCGATAGATCTTTCTATTTTTATTCGACACATTGCATTATTATTTGTAATCGAATTAATTATATTAAACTAACCAAATCCAATATACCCTGTCACCAGATTTCTATTTGTGAGTAAAATATGAAAGAAATGCCCAAACACAATTGTATTATTTCAGGTACATATATCTGTCTATTAATAATATAACTTCAGAGACCCTTGCTGCCTCCATCACTTATCATAAAGATGGAGGTAGCAAGGACCCCGAAACGTTCGTAAACTTCTACCAGACTACACGGCACTATAACCCAGAAGACAGCAATCGTCAGACTCACTATCATGAAAACCTCATATCCTAATTCTGTAGGAAGATGTCATGACATTGCTTTATTTATGTGCATCATAACATAATATGATTCTCCTCTCTTAAATTGCCAACTGCATCATATGACGGTATAATTGAGGGAGGACGAGACTCAGCCTTGTTCCAAGCTACCATGCAGAATTTGCCTGGAGAGGCAGAGACATTGAGCGTGATATCCAGACCAAGATTTGAACACAAGTCCTCCCAAATATAACACAAGAGTGCTAACTACTACACTGTATTTTCTGGTTTAAGCTTTATCCTCATAATCACGTTTATTTTTTAACCCAGAAATTGATTTCTGTGTTTATGACAAAGCGAAAATCTTAAAGATATTATGTTTGATTTGTCAAAACCTCTTATAATTACTGAGAATTCATCTAAAATTCTATACATACATAAATTTGAAGCAATTATTAAATATAACAATATGAAATTAAGTGTAAAACCACATAGCACAACTAGCCATCTGAAGTATGACTATAATTACAGAATTAATAAATGAAAACCATTCTCTAGAGCAGACTGGTGAACTACAAATACACAGTGACATTAATGCAAGGAATATCAGGCATTAGCCATACTTGTTCAACTGCTTGACTTACTACAGAATACAGCATAGCCTTTTCAAAGTCATGTATCAATTCTTGTCCTCAGGTTTTTGCAGCTGTAGTTCAATGTACAACTTTGGCTGCTGGGGACACAGTTGATCCCTGAAAGACAAAGTTGGGCATGTAAAAATTATTTTTAAAATAATTTTTGATAGTTCCAAGACAAGTAGCATAAAACATTGCTTTTGCCAGTATAAAGCTCAAAGAAACATGGAAGATGGACAAGTGCAGAATTTCCATGTACACAGACAACTTCATCAGCAGAAAAGACTAATGGTCTAAATTGATTACTACAATTATAAAATTATTAATCACATCTTCTAGCCAAGACATAATACAACCAAAAAGATATAGTATGATTTGAAATATTATGCAGTTTAATGAACCAATTCAATTAATGTCTTTTCAACCCTTTCATTGCTTTATTTAATGCCATCAGCTCAGTAGTTCACATTCTTGAATTCTTTATACTCTAAGATGTTTGTGTCACAGAAATAAATGATTTACCAAGAAAAAAAATATCATCATGTACTACTGATTAAATACCTTCTAATGAGCATGAATGGATAGTACATGTCTTGAATGCAAATGATTTAGTGTTTCATGCTAAAAGAAGCATGCCACTGATTAAAGTAGTTCATTTTGTGACCTACAGACATCAGAGAATGCCACAATTCAATTTTTCGCTACCTTCAGAACCCCGTCTGAAAAATTATCCTTTTGTGTCTGAGTTCTGTGCTCTCACACAGTATTGTGGAAGACATACAAGCAATGAATATTACAGATGTATGACATGCAATGGGTGAAGTATTCATACTTCCTGACAGCAATTCAAGAGCTGTGTCGCTTCAAAAGGTAATTGATATACTTTCAATATATGCCTAATATTGAGTGTCCCCTCATCCACTATGACTACACACCTGGGTTTCAGTAGACTAAACATAATACAGAATGGCTATTGACCCCCACACCTTGACACAATGTACATGAATGTTTCTAGCAAACTGATAAACTTAGAAAGCATCAGTAAATTATGGTTACTTAAGAATACATGTCTGAAGTATAGTGATGTGAACCAAATGTCAATTACTAGGCAACTTGGACTTGTGTTATCATATCTATGCACATCTTACCCAACATGTGGCAGGAGTTCCACCAACTGGCCCTACAAGCCTATACGTTCTGCACGCACCACGATTATTTGTAGTGAACGCAAACTGCAAAGTGGGAAGAACTACCCTCGAATGCAACAACAGCAATCTGGTTTAAAGTCATTTGTTGATAATTAAACTACTAAAGTTCACAGAAATGTAGGGGAAGATGATATTGGAACAATAAAAATTAGTATCCACTGAATGGCTGTGCCTGAAACAAATCAGTTCTCCCAGTGTCATATATCATACTATTGCACATATTGCAGGTTTCAACCCATCAATGGCTTCCATTGTGTGACTTCTGCTGCAGACTGCTGTAAGAGTGCAATGGCCAGATCGCACGAGCACAGGTGATGCCTGTAAGACTCATCACAGGTAATACTCACTGACTGTAATCATTTGTATGATGGCTACTATTTGCCCTAATGACATCCCTCAAAGTTTCTTTAGGTGTCATACAAGTGTTCTTTTTTTATATGTATATGTTGGGGTCTAAATATACCAACATTTTTGTTCTTTACACAAAGTGCATAAAGTAAACAACTAATGGTATGGTATCTGTTCATCTATGTGTCTCATCTCCAAACATGCACAGCATATTTTCATTAAGGTTCATACTGGGTTATCTCGCAGAATTCGTTCTTTGATTGTATTGGTCAAATATAACCACTAGATTGTACCATATATGTCACAATAAACTTTGTCAAATTTCTAAGAAATTACTCATCGTGCATAATTTGTATATGGCATAAAATATATACTTCACTTGTGTCTAAAATTTATTATTAGAAACATTCTTCTATATAGCGAATATCTTTAGAAAGCCAAGAAAATAGCTTTCTCAACAATATATTGGCAGTTGTTTCTTTTTTAGGCTGCAGACAGTATAAACATACACATATATAACGGAAAATATATGATACCAACCTAGCAAAGAAGTATCTTAAAAATGTTGCAAAACTTAAGTATTTGGCATGCTTACTACATGCTTGTTGTAATCGTCACTCTTCGCCAAGTGCATACACACCAACTTCTGTTGCACACGCCTGAAAGCACCTAACCTCAATTTTTAAACGGGATTTGCCACGAATCTGCGCAATACGAGTGAAATCAGACCGACTTAATAAGCTTACATATTTTGACCTCATCGTAAACATTATGTTGAGTTCCTCCCGAATACCAGTGATTCTAAATTAGTTATAATTATTGGTGGGATTTGATATTGGAGGCCCTCATATAGACAGTATAGAGAAAGTAATACCGAATTCGCATATGGTGCGGCATTCACTTATCTTTGCATTAGTTCATGCACTCGCCAATATATGGCGCAGCATTTCACTTATCTGTACATAGTTCACAGAGTGTTTCCACTTTTCGCATCTGTGTTAATAGCTATTGTTGGCAATACTGCTAATTCTTGTGTTGGTTAACCTGATAAATAATAGGAAGTACTTAACATATGTTGAAACTCATTGTGATTGAATTTTGAGGAGAGTTTGCGTTGCGCATCAGACCCTGAAGATTATATAGTTAATTTCGTCATGACCCACACAAATATTGAGGTACAATTCATAAGCATTTGTTCAAGTTACTTACCTCTTACGTACGAATTATGAATTGATTTGGCTGTGGCATCAGTGTTGAAATAGTTGCGTACTGATATTACATATGTAAGTTCTTGCACTTTGAAAACTTGTTTGCAGATGGAGGTTGATGAAAAACCTAAAGGTGAAGGTTTCCGACAATACTACATTACAAAAATTGAAGAACTACAATTAATTGTTGCAGAGAAGAGTCAGAATCTACGTCGCCTTCAAGCACAACGCAATGAACTTAATGCGAAGGGTAACGTCTTTTTATGGCGATTGTAGTTTGCTAAATTAAATGCATCTTTACTTTTGGATACAACTTCATTATATGGTGACTATGTATGCTTGTTATTGGATTCTGTACATGCCCAGTAAACTATAACATTAAGTAGCATCGCTTCCTTAATCTGTCACTGAATTTGGATTTATATAGGGTTACCAGCAAATCATTGTAACATGTGACAACTAGAACAGTATTATGATATACAAAATCTTTTAAGGTAAAGATGCATTTGTGCCACTGGACTTGTCCATTGTAGCAGGCCTAGGTATAGGTTGAAAAACACAGGCATAAGGTGTGGTGATGTAAACTGGGCTCAGGTAGTAAACCTGTGTGTTCTATAAATAGGCAGAGAATATCTTCACTGAGTGGCTATAAGCTTCTCAATAAGGGCCCTAATCCTCGGAATAAATTATGACAAACAGTACTTGCTTGTTCTAAAGATTACATTTTAAATGCTTCAATTTTCCTTCCTTTCAGTTCGAATGCTTCGTGAAGAACTGCAGCTACTCCAAGAACAAGGTTCCTACGTTGGAGAAGTTGTGAAACCCATGGACAAGAAGAAAGTTTTGGTTAAAGTTCATCCAGAAGGAAAATTTGTTGTAGACCTTGACAAGAACATTGACATTAATGATGTCACAGCTAATTCACGTGTTGCACTCCGAAATGAAAGTTATACCCTTCATAAAATACTTCCAAATAAGGTATGTATCATAATTATGACTTAAATCAGCTGTCACATGTTATTCTCATGTACAAAACTGTTCATAAGTTTTATCATATTCTTACAATTTAATCTGACTGCAGGTTGATCCTCTGGTATCTCTCATGATGGTAGAAAAAGTACCTGACAGTACATATGAAATGGTTGGAGGTCTGGACAAGCAGATCAAAGAGATTAAGGAAGTGATAGAGCTTCCTGTCAAACATCCAGAATTGTTTGATGCTTTGGGTATAGCTCAGCCAAAAGGAGTCCTTCTGTATGGACCACCAGGAACAGGTTCACAATTTTTGTTACTCAACACTGAGTAAATTATACTGTCATGTACTAAACCAATAACAAATATTTATGTTCCTCAGGTAAAACCCTGCTTGCCCGAGCAGTGGCCCATCACACTGAGTGTACATTTATTCGAGTCTCTGGGTCTGAATTAGTGCAGAAATTTATTGGTGAAGGTTCAAGGATGGTACGAGAACTGTTTGTTATGGCCAGGTACGTCCAGTTATTTGTGGTTTTATTGACCCTTTCGCTGCCACTTTGATGTGGTTTTGGGGCTTTGCTGTGTTCTAACGGTTGGTGCTAGAAATACAAATGAGACATGAAATTTGGGGAGAACTATGAAAGTTTACCTGTGTTAATGAAGTTCAGTGTAAGTTTAATTTGTTGCTATGAACACACCAGTTCTTTCCTTGCCTAGCTAAGAACATCTGGAATTATGGTCTCAGTTGTCTCTTCAAATGGTCTGTGTTATTAATATCCATTCTTGACAATTTGTTTTAGGTAGTCCTGTCGATTAAAAGTAGAAAAGTGAGGTTCAGAGATCAAGATGACTAAAGTTGTTAATCTCTTTTTCTAGTCCACCACTCTTTAAATTGTTCATTTACACTTCCATGAAGTCTCTGGTGATGTTGAACAATAAACATGGTACCATAAATTGAGGACAATAGGAGAAATCTTAATTTCATGGAGGCATTCTCCCTATGCACAGGAAAAATTTAAATATGTTAGCTTCAATTTTATTTACATTTCTTTATATACTTTAATATGAATACACCAATCACAAACTGGATGGCTTTTATTTTTATCCAATTCTAAAGGGTTTTGACAATGGTAGTTTACACTTAAAATTATTCATTGCCAGGACTTTTTCCATCGTCTGTTCGTTTAAAATCACGACGTTTCGGAGGCTAGTTCTGTTTCCGTCTTCAGGTGAGAGGTACCTACTCTGTTGGGTCCCTTATATTGAGCTAGTCTCTGTCACTGGAAACGTCGTGATTTTAAAAGAACTGACGAATAATTTTAAGTTTTATTTTTGTTCCTTATTATCATAGCTGTAGTCTGTTAATTCCACACAACTTTCAAGTCTTTGCCTTTATGTGGAAGTCACAATTTTGAATCTTAAAATCCCTATCAACGGCTGTTTGAGCAACTGTTAACTTCTGGATAATTACTTTGCTCCATGGATTTAGTTTAGTTATGCCAGAATAACTTTGATAAACATGTTGAACTGTTTGAATTTAAAGTATTGTAAATAATATCAAACAGTTGTGGATTTATTGGATTTGGCATTGATTACTGTATGTAAATTATGTTACAGAGAACATGCACCTTCTATTATCTTCATGGATGAAATTGACTCCATTGGATCATCTCGGATTGAATCGGGCAGTGGAGGAGATTCTGAAGTACAGAGAACCATGCTGGAATTGTTGAACCAACTTGATGGATTTGAGGCTACAAAAAATATTAAGGTACATCAGATAGTTAACAGATGAGGCACAAATAGCACATTTGTTTGTGATTTATCATATTCTTAACTTTATGAAATGTTTCAAATGGAAATACTACCTTATGCTTATCATTTTAACAAAATTAAATTATAATTTTCACTACAAATAATACTGTACCCTGTGCATTGACAGGTGAAAACAAATTAGACTGTATATCATTCATAAGATGGGGTAGGTACCAGTGGCATAAAAGATTTTGGGTTCATAAAATCAGGGGAATTTTTAAAACAGCAGAGCACCCATTTTTTAGCTTCTCAAGGAGGACACTTATCCATGCAATAAGCAAACAATTTTGGAAGTTTTTATAGCCGAGACTTATGTTGGAATGTAGGTTTCTAGGAAATTTTAAATTACTCTCTGCAGGTAATTATGGCTACCAACAGGATTGACATTTTGGATCCTGCCTTACTTCGCCCAGGGCGCATTGACCGCAAAATCGAATTCCCGCCTCCAAATGAAGAAGCTCGATTGGACATTCTCAAGATCCACTCTCGAAAAATGAATCTGACCCGAGGCATTAACCTCCGCAAGATTGCGGAACTTATGCCAGGAGCATCTGGTGCTGAAGTCAAGGTAATCAAAAATACCAGTTAAGTCCAGGAATTTTAAATATTTACATGCTCGTAGTAAATGTAACTTCAGGCTTCATCAGCTTTAAAACTGATATAAAGTGATAAACATCTTTGTTTCTGCAGGGAGTATGTACTGAAGCAGGGATGTACGCCCTCCGAGAACGCCGGGTTCACGTGACTCAGGAGGATTTTGAGATGGCAGTTGCCAAGGTCATGCAGAAAGACTCTGAGAAGAACATGTCTATTAAGAAGCTCTGGAAGTGAATTCTATAAAGAGACACTTCTGGTTATCAGTTTGAGCTCAAAATAGTGACAAAAATTTATAAAACAGATCTTGATGACTTTGAGATAATGAACATTTTCCGAAACTATGCGTAATAACAAATTTATCATTCTGACAGAAATTAGTTACTTCTTAAATATGTACACATGAAAATGAACAATTAAATTAACATTAATATACATTATAATACTTGCAGACACTTCCATTGCTTCTATACTTTGAATTATATTTGGCATAGCTTACATTATCCTATTCAAAGACAGTCAACCTTTTCCCTCGACCTAATTTGCAGGTAACGACCAGCACTCTCTTTGCACATGATGCCGTTACAGATTTTACCTCCAAGAACATCAACATAACGAATTTCATAGTGAGACTGTAAATGCCAGAGAATGTTAACATCAATACTTACTTTTTCCTAACTTTAATAACGAAGCGCATAACCTTCATTTGAAAGCGAACTCACCCGGAATCTTTCGACAGATTAAGAAACTCTCCTAATGCCTCCCCCATTATATATCAGATAAGGAAGACATGACTAACCAACTTGAAATTTAGATTTATGTACCCAGATGTCTTCAGTACATGGATTACAACCCTAGAATGATATACTTCCTTACTATTATTGAAACATATCTCAGTATCACCCTTCAGATAATAAGCATCTACAAGATATGCAACACCTGATCAAAATATTAAAAGATTCCTATTCACTATGACTTACAAAGTAATGTTTTTGTTAGGTTTTATTTGCTGATGCCTCCCTCGTGCACAAATGAATTCAGTAGCACCCTTAACAGAAGTTGGTCCTATGAGAAATATTTACAACCGAGGTGCAGTTAAAAACGTAAAATGCACAGGACTTGTCAAAAATTTCATTGTGTTTGTTGACTGGTGTCCTACTTTTCTTTAAAGTGCACCACTGCTCATAGCCACTTACTTTCTTATATAAACAAAAACCAGTTTATTTTACTTTTTATACTTCATCTCTAAAGCTTTAAGAAATCTAACAAAATGTTTTATACTGCCATGAAATATGTGAAAAAAAGTTTTAGTATGAAAATTGGAGGTTTTGTTCTGCCGTTAAATTACAATATGCAAACATTTCCGTGGCATGTAAAGTGTTTCACACTGACATGCCATACTTAGCTGAGATTAGTCTTTTGGAAAAGGTGTTTTCTTCACTGATAATATATTCTCCAACATGCTTTCTTCAGTGTTTGAGAAATTCACATCCCAATATCCTGTAATGAAATTAAGAATAATTCAAAGTTCCTGTACTGTAAGAGAACATCATCTGGATTTGAACCAAGGTTTCTTCCAGTAAAATACCAAAGCTAAAACTAAGTATAAGATTTAAACCATAAACACATTTTACATTTAACACACCACACACACACACACAATTTTTTTACAGGCACTCAAGAACACAAAAATGTGCCAAAATGCAAATTTTCGTAGCACACCATCTCATGCTAATGAGCCAACTAAGCAACTAAGGCAGGCTTTTCTAAAATGCCAACATGTAATATAGGAAATCATTTAAAACACCTTTCTTGGATCCAAATACTTACTTGACCCTTCTTTTTCATCAGACTTTGATAGCAATGGACTATTCTTACCAAGAGATGTGAAATGTATAAAATAAGATTACTGGAGCCTACAGACATCAGACATGAAATGTAACACTGAATAGTTATGGGATGTTTATCAATCACAGTTGGAAGTCACAAAAAATTATCTTTTGTCCCCAGAACTGTGTGTCAGTTATATTACGGTGGTAATTATATGTAACAGCTTTTACAGAAATGTGTTACTTTTTGCTCACCATACTGGAAGTAACAAAACAAGTGAAAAGTTCCCCAAATTCCCTGAATTTCCTTAAATGCACAATTTAGTTTATAGTTTCAAAACCATCATATATCCATACACGTAAACATGCATGCCATAAAGTACATGACTGACTATCCTGGTGAGAAGTTGAAAATAATCATATCTACCTAGAGGAGTTCTGGACTGAAAAGAATATTTGTCACGGTGCCTGGAGCATAGTTTGAGGTGACGCTTCAATTCGGATGGATCTGCACCCCCACAAGTAACAGCATAATACTGTAAAAAATTAAAATCACCACAAATAACCCTAAATATGTTGTAAATGTAAACAGTACCACTTCCAATGTCACATTTAAATTAAAATGTTCATATGGAAGACTGACAAATTAACTATCAGCATGTGTTACCATATAATGTTGCTGTCCAATATAAAAGGTGCTTATTGTGAGGTCGCACACAGCCACTGTTTCACACAAAATGTGCCTTCAGGCCACTACAGAATTGCATCCATATTATGAAACAAATGACCCAAAGGAGTTTTGGCTATATAAACATATTCCACTCTAGGTAATAAACTAAATGTCTCTTAGTACAAGGTACTATCATGATACTTATCTGGAGTTACACAGGAAACCACAGAACCAAGCCTCACAACAGCTGATGTATGAGCTGAGATTTGAACTCAGGTCCTCCAAATTTGAAACAGGAGTGACATGATATTTAACATAGCAAGAATACTTCCCATACAATGAAATATATATAAAAGTCTGACTCTTCATTCTGTTGATATGTTAAATACCACAGTTATGTAGTTGTGAATACTCTCAACTTACATTTCTACACTGCTGACATTCCCAACCATCAAGTTTCTGTCGTGCTTCTCTTTTTCGTAAAGCATCTCGTCGATATTTGTAATTTGGGCTTGTGGACACTTTATCTGGAACCCTGAATGTAAAGAGAACATTACTGTCTTGAAACCCAATTAATCTTTTCCTACACTGCCCTGCACATATTACATTGAACATACAAATGCTGCTAAAATGAAAATGACACAAACAGCAAAAGTGGGCAATTATATGCATGTATTTTAACTTAAGAACCAACCAAGAAAATTACATAATTTTAATTCACAGCCTGATGTGAGACTGTTGATTTCTTGAGCATGAGACAGTTTAAACAGGATAATCAAAATGGTTGCGTATCTGGTAACGGTAATGAGTTAGCAGGGGTAGCTCAATCTGTACAGTGACTAGCTATGGAATGGATGACTGAGGTTTGATCCCCAACAGGGGCAAAATAATTTTCCTCTAGCCTCTGCATCCACACCGATTCTGGGGTCCACCAAGCCTCCTACGCAATGGGTTCTCACTTATCCATGACAGACATGGACAAAACCTGAGTTTTCTTTTCACTAGCTCATAACACCATGATGCAAATTCTTTCTTAAAAAATTTATAGTTTCTCATGTGGTAAAGGAATTCCATTTTATATAATGTGAAGGTTCATCACTACATTAAAAAAAAGTTGGCCAAAGAACCTACTTCTGTGCCAGTTCAATCCAGTTTACCCTTCATGCCATATTTTTCTAAGATTCATTTACATATAATCATCTCACCTAGGTTCCACAAGAAGCCTTTAACTAGATTTTCCAACAAATATTGTATGCATTTCTCATTATCCAGTGTATGCTACATGTGATGCCCATCGCAACCTCCTTGATTTAGTCACCCAATAATATTAAGTGTAATGCGCTCATTATGTAATTTTCTTCAGTTACTTTCTCTTTGTTGGGTCTCAATATTTTTCTCAGATCTCTGTTCTCCCGCACTCTCAACCAAGTTATCTCCTCAGACAGACCATGTTTCACACCATACACAACTTCAAATCAGATACAGGATATACATTTCTAAACTTAATTACATATAAATTTTAAACTGTTCTAAATTTCTTCATAAACAGCAGAAGTTCCAAACAAACTTATATTTCCACTCAAATGCATTGTTTCTATAATAGGTCTAATGTGAAACTGGTCACAAACAAAATAAATATATGACCTGTCAAAACTGCAGTTGTGTTCCTTGACAAGCTCTGACTCCATTCTGTCTTTCATTTCAACAGCATGTGTTGTATCTTTAAAATTTTGTTCAGAACACAATTCCTCAGTTTCAGGCACTCTCTTTACTTCTCTGGTACCGTAAGTACAAGTAACATCCTGTAAAGTGCTGGCATACTGTGGAACAAACAGTGTCTCATCCATGTCTTTCCTTCCAACAGCACACTGAATTTTCTTCTTCTTCCGAGTTGTACTTTTTGATGTAATATCAGTTTTCCTGACAACAAATATGTGACATTAAATTTAATACAGTAGATTAATCCTTTAAATAAAAGGATCATAAATATTTATTTTCAAACTTTACATCTTAGCAGTACTTCTTCCCCAATATTTCAAAAGTAAAAAATAACAATATTAACGGCAAGCGGTTAGTTTTGTACGGTTACATACATCCCAGTCTGAAATCACAAGTAATAACCACTAAAAAGTGTGAAGTCACTTTCCACCCTTTGTAACCTGGAAATTTACATTCAGGAAATCCTGTAAGTGATTTCTACAGCTTACTGCATTTATGGCTGAGTTAGAGGAGAATGACATGCACATCAACTGCACAGCTGATATGTTTTCTCAGCAACACGATGCAATAAAAATTCATTGATTTCTAACCTTCTCCTCCTCCAATACATATGTAGGTCCTCAAATTTATGTAACAATACTTAGGTTACAGCAAAAATAGGTGAATGGCTGTGAATGATGAACTGGGAAGGATACAGAAAGAATGAAGCATCAACCGCAAGAAGATGGAAGTAGCTGATGACAAAAATCTGTCATAAGAGTCAGCCTCCAGACCAGGAATCAAATCCAGTACAGCATATATCTAAATGCGTTTATATTAATGTATGTTGCTTTACCTGCTGACTGAAGATAACACTGCGGCATACACACGCTTTTGTTTTGGTGACATCCGAGAGCTTGATGCACTATTACCTTCTAGTACAAAATCATCTTTATCCTCAGCAGATACAATCCTCCAGTTTCTGTCTCCAGAACATTTACTCTCTGATGAGACAGATTCAATATTCTCCTTATCATTCAATGATCGTTGTATAGCCAGTTTAAGAGATGTTTCATCATCACAGTTACCATTGATCTGATCAACTAATAAACTGTTTTCAATTGCAATTGGCCTCACACCTCCATTGAATTCTTTGAGGGTACAAATATCCTGCTTCTTTGGAAATGAATGGAGTGTAAGGATAGTTTGTTTCAATTTACGATTCACAGCAACAACTGGATTTCCGTTATTAATATTCGTATTAGGCACAGGCTTCAATTTCCAAAAATCTGCTTGAATATTCTTATTTTCTCTGTTATGTTTCAAAGGACGTGAAACATTCTCTTTATGATTTTCATTTCTTTTCCTTTCTTCACCACCATCTTCCATTTTATAAGGACCTGTTGCAACTGGATTTGATATTCCCGACTGAATTTTCAGTAATGATGGACTCCTGTCAACATAATCTTCACAATTAGTTATCAGATCTGAAGCACCAACACAATTATCTGATTTACCATTCTGTATGAGAGTTTGCAATGGCACAGCACTAGCATCTGGGCTGCCCACAATTGTTGCACTATTATCACAATGTGCAGTTTTGTGAGTGGACTTTCTACTGCATCCACCTAAGACTGGACTATATTTTTGGGTTACCTGCTCATGTAATACCTGCTTCTTCGGCGTTGTTTGAATGTTATCTATCCTTTCATTCAGATCTATTACACTTTCCTCCAAATCAGCAGGATACTGAGAGCAAGATGTTTCAGGAACTCTTTCCATTCCTAGATCTGGACACACAACCCTATCTACAACAGGTAAAGATTCTGGAGCCAACGTGGCCCCATAATATAACGTTTCAATGTCACTTCCTCCATCTTCTATATTGAACTCATCTGCTTTAGCTGTTCTCTTGTTGTGTTTCTTTCTCTTTTTACCTGGCGTCATCTGTAGACTCTCAACTGAATCATGTTGGAGTCGTCTAGTGCCACTTCTTACATCACAAATTGTATCTTTTTCTGAGTTTGTGCTGTCCAATAACATTTGAGACACAAGCTTATAAGCCTTATCAATAGAAGCTTTCTGACTTGACTGATTTCTGTCTAAATCTTCAGAGCCATTATTTTTACACAATATGGAGACTGGAAAGAAATAAGAACATCAATAAAATAAGTAACAAATCAATTTAATATTCATACAGCACAACTATAAAAGTTTTCTATATAATTAGATCCTAAATTTCCAACAGATTTATCTCCTTAGATTTTTCATTTCCTGAACTTACAGTGTAGAGTTCCTTTTCCCCATTTGCATTCAAACTCTCTGGTTATGAGACGGATAAGTAGTAGTGCAAGTACAAAATTACTATGTTCATATCATAATTTTTAACATTTTCGTAAAATAAATGAAACAATTAAGCTTCTGGACTTGCTGAATAGGATTCTTGTAAAGAAACCATTTGGAGTGGAACCTCCATCTAGGACACTTCTAGGTATCTACATTTTTGGCAAGGAACATGAAAATTACCAACTGATTTGATGCAACGCTTATTGTATTCCAACTTCTTCCTGTAGGCTCCAACTTCCCTCTCCAATTCTGGGCAGTGCACACAATGTTCATTCTTATGACTGCAATAGAACAAAGTGTTATACATAAACTCAACTAATATGAAAAGAAACAATGGATTAATCTGCTACAACATACATACTGGTAACAAAGATGTGAAATTTGGAAAATTATTAAAAGAAAACCATTTACATTTTTTATATTCTAAATACTGTTACTTTCTGTGTTTATGTTTAACAGGTAGAAAACAAATTTTACTTTTCATTTGTATAACGATTTCAGAACTAGCATTTGATATTTGGATGTCATTTCATACTGAAACATTCAGATCACAGAATTTCAAAATGGTATAACAAACTTGTGGAAGAAAATGTAAGGTGTTATAAATAAAGATTTGTAAAATCATCTACAGTCACAAGGAACCTGGTATGGATGTATGGAAAATAAAGTTGTTGTACCAGAGTTAAATAAAACATATTCTACATCAAAACAGATATAAAACCCAACTCCAGCTACAATTCTTAGTCCAAAAACAAACCACTTCAGAGCCTCTTTTACTCGACACAATTCCTCTGCAGTTAATTCCAACTCGTGCTTCACAGTCTGATATGCTAATTCGGCTTCCATGTATTTTTTCTTCATGTCTGTAAAGAGTGTACCAATAGGTTTATACTTGTCAACAATTTATTTGTATCTACAATAAATAGCATGAAAGGAATGAGGTATACAAAATTGTGAACTCTAGACTGAAGATGAATCCTGAAAATGTGGACAGATGGCAATGAGCAATACTCTACTGTCTGTTTATCAACAACAAAACATAACACCTGACATTTTGTCTTATGTATAACAAAACCAAATGAATTTTTGAACTATGTTCATAACTTAAAATAGTGTATGATATTATGCATTACAGAATTTATTCCTCTTATGTACATTTCATGTAATCCTCAAAAGACTTCAACAAAAAATATGAATGATTTTACAAAGAAGTATGGCTAATATTAATTCATACTTTATTACAGAACTTATCAAAAGCACCAGTCATAATAGTTCAGATCCCCTGTGTGACACTTTTCCATTAACCTCTTCACAAGCACACTAATACTATAAATAACAAGAGTTGTTTTTGATCCTATGAGAGTGCTCCTTCCTACTTTGGTTTGGTCAGCTTAGGTCAGTTTATTTTAATTAATTTTCTTAATTTAAAACCTTATTTTACTTTCTGGAAGCTTTGAATATTATTATATTCATGTTG